CAGCAGGCGCTTGCTTCAGGTGTGGATGTACTGGGAGGATGGGTTTCTCTTCTTTGCTAATCTCACCAGGTGAGAGACTGATGCTCCCACACCATGTGGGAACTGCAGCCTCACTGCCCCTGCTCAGAGCATCTGCCTGTATCTGGCATGCGTTGAAGCTGTTTGCATGTACGTGGGCAGGCTTTGGGCACCACTTGCACTAGGCAGGCTGGGTTCAGTTGCAATGAGGAGGGGGCACTGGGGTTTGGCTGCTGTACTCGAGAGAAGCTGGACTTTGGCAAAAATCACATGTCAGGATTGAGTTGCACTAACAGAAGCTGGGGACAGAGCTGGTGGGGCAGGAATGACGTACGCTGGCTTAACTGGACCCTGGATGTTTGTGCACTTTGTCATCTGTGTTTAACTGTTTTCTCTTGCAGAACAAGTCTCTCTGGGGCAGGGGATGGTGGCTGCAGGGCTGTTCAAGCAGGGCGTGCTTCAATTCTTCTGTTTCAAAATGCTTGTGAGGAAGTGCAAGGAGTTCTTGTGGTTTGTTTTCTGCAGCCATATTAGGGTGAGGGGAGAGGATGTGCCCCTGCAGGGGTGTGTTGCTGTATGGAAGCAGTGACTGTGCTTCTGTTTGGGGTGGTGACGTGGAGAGGAGCTGTGTGTTTGTTGTGTGATTTGTGGAATGTACCTCCATGTCCATCTCTAAGCTTGGTGTGGCTTTGACAGGACCACCAAAGAGCCCAGCACAACTTGAACTGATAAAGGCGTCTCAGTGGACTTGGGGGGAAGAGCTATTGAGAAAGCTTTAATATGAAGTCCCATATGTTTTGGAGAAAGAAGGGTGAAAGCAGAACTGCCTGTTTTCTTGCTCAGTGGAGTGTCAGGCTCATGAAAGCCTGCTACAGAAACGACCGACAGCTTAACCCAGCTGGTTCAGCTCCCCTGTGTTTCTCTTCCCTATATGGCTGAAGATAATACTGAACATGTAAGCAGGATGTTTAGTTTATTACATCTCCTTGGCTCCTCCTGCATAAATTCTGCATCTGACATCTTAGTAGTCAGCATTCCACAGCAGTGGTTGTGACAGCCCTGCACAAGGCTTGCACGGAGCCACCAAAGAACAGAACGTGGCCTTTGCCTTCTGCTTGTATGGAACGAGATGCAGAAACAGGATTACCGAGGAATGTGCTAATGCTTTTCTCAGCAGATGCCTCAGCTGCTAAAGCAAAATGGACACTGGTAGTGGGCAAAGCAGGAGGAAGGCAGAGGAGGGGCAGCGGTGCTGGGAAGTGTTTTCCATATGGCTGCTCTGGAATAATTCCATTCCTGCGTCCTTAAGCGTGGAGCAAGTGAGGCTGCAGTTGTACATGTGGGAGGAAAGGTCAGTGTGGCCTTTTGATCTGCCTCCCCAGTAGTGCAGTTCCACACGGGCTGCCAAGCTAATGCCTCATCTGTCTGCGTGCACTTAGCGGTCACATCTGTGAGCCCTGTCAGATTGTCCAATTACTGGGGTCCTTTAACTCCCCCCCATCCCTTTTGGTGAAATAGGGCTATCAAAAAGCATGCATAAGCAGATGGTCAGCATGCAGGCAAGCTCTCTAATTAAGATGAGCCGGGTCAAAACTTAGATTTAAATTCACTTTATTCTTGCTGCAAATAATTTTATCACAAAATAAAAACCTTTTGATTTTTCTTCTGTTGCCAGCGTCCTTATTGTGTTCTGTTGCCTCTGTCCTTTTTATTTACTACTAGCCACTTGTTGAATTAAGAAGATTGTAAAATTTATCAGAGCAACAATATATTTAAGAAGAAATGTGTAAGCATGTGTGCAGCAATAAAATAGTATATTTCACTATATCTGTTCCTGCTGTGGCCTCTCTGTTACCAACTGACAACATCAGCGTGGCTTTATTTCTGAAAGGTCTCGGTGGGTTCCTTCAGCTTATTTTCCCGCACCTGGGCCAAGGGCTGGCTTCCAAGCAGTGAGGAAAGCGTGACTCTGCTCTCCTCCTTTGGTGACCTGTTTGTACAGTCCTGCCAGAACATGGGCATAAAGCACCGACTTGTTTTTACTGGCTCCTTTCTCCCAGGATTATTCTGTTTCATTAGCAGCACTGTGGCACAGGCTTGGTCAGCGTGGTGGTGGTGGTGTGTCAGGGAGCTGATGTTTATCTCGGAATGTTGCTCTGGGCAGCCCCCGATCCGTAAGTTGTCCCTCCCTCTCTTCTTGTCACCCTGTGCCTCTGTCATTGCTGACTGTCCATTAAATCCAAGGATGGTGATTTCTCAGCCTCTGTGCTTAACTACTCTTGTTCGGTGTGCTCATGGAGCCTCTGAAGCATGTTTTCTCCAAAACCTCAAGTCTGCTGAAGTGCCTGGGCAGTCCTTCCTCTCCTCTGAGGACACAGATGCTTATTTTTCTCTTTTTGCCTTCTTGTATGTCTGGGTGGCTGCAATAGTCTTGGTGGCAATAACTGAGCTGCCTATGTGCAGCCCCTGTTGACTTCAGAGCGTGACTGGCATTCAGGGAACGAGGATCCAAGCCCGTCCCCGTGGCTCTGTGTAGGAACATGCAGCTTTCGGGGGGGGGATACTAATAGCATCTGAATGACTAATGCTGTTGAAGGGAGGGACTGGGCTTAGAAAAATTCAAGCACTAATGAGGCTTTTGGGACTCAATAAACAGTGCTTACAAGGAGTATCATTGTGCTGTGAGAGCCTGGAGTAAACGACGAGCCTCCTCAAGAGGCTTGAGCTGTTCACGTTGGTAGTCATGGTCAAACTGTGGGGATAGCACCTTCCCACGTAACAGCTCGCAGTCGGTGTGTGTTGACAGACTCGTCTGCTCAGGGTGGCACTTGAGTTTTTCTCTCTCTTGCTGTGGGCAGCCTGGCGAAGCCCGGCACAGCCTGGGGAGCTGGGTTGCATCTGTGCTCAGCTCCCAGGGATGAACAAACCTAGCTAGGGCTGGTGATGGGAAACAAAACCTTGCCGCGGTTCTCTGCTCACAGGGGGTGGGGGTGCTGGCAGAGCAGGTTTTTGTTTTACCTTCTAAGCTAAAACAGATTGGACATAACACATTTATTAAGATAAGAGGCCACACTGGCAAACCGCTTGTCGGAGTTGGGGCCTGTTTTGACTAAAGACGCTGGCTCTGCCAGGGTTGCTGCCTGCCTCGGAAGAAGTGCTGAGGGAGAAGGGCAGAGAACTCCTTTTCTAGGGTTGCAAATGGTTTCTAGGGTTTTAGATTGGAAATCGGAGGTGGTTATTGGCAATAACCAAGGCAGGGCTGCAGAGAGGCAGAATATTAATTCGGGGACAGCAGCCACATTTGGGTGCAGCTATGGACGTGCAGACCCTCAAGGCCAAAGCCAAGCTACAAGCTTCAAGCTATATGCAATCAGCATCTGGAGAAGGGGGCAGGCATGCACATGCCTTTCACTTTTCCTAGTTGTGGTTAACTTTGTAAGCCTACAAGTTTGGGACAAGGTTTGAAGGGCATTTCAGGAGTCTGAAGAAAGCCTTGGAAGAGGTTCAGTACCCATGCAAAGAGCTAGCTCTGGTCCCGAGGGTCTGGCTGCTCGGTTCCCAAAATAAGCTCTGAGAAATGAGTGTGAGAGCTTTCCTCTCCCTCCTCCTGTTACCGTCAGAGCAAGCTTGAGGGGAAAGGGAGCTGGATTGGAAAGTGAGATCTGCTCCCTCCTGACTGCAGCTCTCTGCCAGTGGGTCTGCTTTGCGCCCTGCTCTGTAGTTGGTATGGCAAAACATGAGGCCATCGCTTTGGCACAGTGTGTTAGGGAAGAGGGAGGTGGGGGGAGTGCTATGGTGTGGCCAGATGCATCGGTTCATGGGCTCGGGGTAGGGTTGGGTTGGTCTTGTTAAAGAAATCCAAAGTAACTTGATGTAGCTTTCCCATGGAGGAAACTGAGCTGGTCTGCGTTGCACTGGGATGTCATTAAAACCCCAGTAAGAAAAAATGCCTCCCTCTTTATTTTATCATATCACTTCTTTGCAAGCCAGGGTCATCCCAGTACCATTCGTACAAGGCTGCAACAGTGATGAACCGTGCGAGCAAGGCTGTGCAGAGACCTGCTCTGGAGGGAAGGCAAATAAATGTGTTAGCTACTGCTCCTTGAGATATGCCTTAGGAGGTGAAGGCTGATCTTTCATATCAAGGCTAAGATGACATTATATCTCTCCCTTCTGCTCAGAAGGTTTTATTCTAACACATTCTTGGCACAGCATAGCAGAACCACCAATATTTCTATGAATTTTATTAAGATTGCTTCCATAACGGGAGCCAGCAATCTGCTCTCTAGAACTCCTTCCACCCCCCTCCTCCACTGAACTTTTATCCAGGAGTTTTAAAAAAAGTTTGTTG